GACCCGGCAGGGATGGGATGCTCCAGAAGACAGCCCCGCTGCCCGCCCCACTGCCTGCCCCACTGCCAGGCCCCAGCCCAGCCCCATCTCCTGCCCCACTGCCACACCCCAGCCCAGCCCCATCTCCTGCCCCAGCCCAGCCCCACTGCCTGCCCCACTGTCAGGCCCCAGCCCAGCCCCACCTCCTGCCCCAGCCCAGCCCCACTGCCTGCCCCAGCCCAGCCCCACTGCCTGCCCCACGGCCTGCCCCAGCCCCGCACAGGTGAGGGGGCAGACGTGCAGCCGCTGCTGCGCTGCCGGCCGGGGGCAGCTCCAGCTCCCCAGCACGCGCTTTCCTTTGGCCGCTAATCGGCTCTGTCCTCTCGCTGCCAGGAGCCCTTAATTAAATCATTTGGCTCTGCCCGCGGCACCCCCGCTCTCCAGGTCGCTGCCCGGGCCGTGGCCGGGCACCAGCCGGCGGCAGCGCTGGCTCGGTGAGCGCCGCGGGGTGCGGGGCTGCGGGACCCCGGTGCCGGCCCTGGGCCGCGTGCGGCGGGCTCACGCCGCGCCCTAAGAGGCTTGTGCTGCGCACATGAGCGCTAAGCCCGGATGCCGCAGCTCTGGGCGCCACAATCGCCTGGTGTGTGGGGATTAGGCCGGGGCTGCTCCCCGGCTGGGCTCGCCCCGCCCGAGGGTGGCGGCGGGACGGACAGCCGCCCTGCCGTGACCCCGCGGACCGTGGGCACTGCCCGGCACCGTCACTCAGCGCTCCCGAGCGGGTGACGGCCCCGGCTGCCCGAGGCCCGCACCCAGCCCGGCGCAGGGGCTGAGAGCTGGGAGTCCCACCGGGGAGCACCGGGCAGGCGCTGCCCCCGGTAAATCGCACCCAGCCGCTGCACCGCCCGCCCGGCCGCGGCCCCGACACCCGCGGGTCCCCCGGAAAACGCGGCTCCGGGACACCCACGGCTCCCCGGCACCCACGGCTGCCCTCACACCCACGGCTCCCCGACACCCACGGCTCTCCGACACCCACGGCTGCCCTCACACCCACGGCTGCCCCACACCCACGGCTCCCCGGCACCCACGGCTCCCCGACACCCACGGCTCCCCGACACCCACGGCTCCCCGACACCCACGGCTGCCCTGAAACCCACGGCTGCCCGACACCCACGGCTCCCCGACACCCACGGCTGTCCTGGCACCCACGGCTGTCCTGGCACCCACGGCTGCCCTCACACCCACGGCTGTCCTGGCACCCACGGCTACCCTGGCACCCACGGCTGCCCTGGCACCCTCGGGAGCCGTTGGGAGCCGCGCTGCCTGCAGGCTCCCGGCCACAGCGAGGCACCGGCGGGGCTGGCGTGGCACGGCCAAAGAAGCCATGGCCCGGGCCACGCAGAGCTTGGCTCCGGCAGCAGAGCCCAGCCCAGCGCACAGTAATTTTCCTCTGTTTACTCGACAACTCGCTGTCTGCGCTGGCCGAGCAGGAGCCGGCGCCCGAGAGGCAGAGCAGCGCTGGCAGCGGGGATGGGAGCAGCAGAGCGGGCACAGAGGCTCCGGGCGGCGGGGCTCGGGGCCGTGGGGCAGCAGCGCCGTGGAACGGGCGAGGGAAGGGGCGCGCAGTGCTGGGGGGCTGCCCAGGCCCCAAGTGCAGCGATGGGGACAGGAACAGGCGGAGGGACAGGGATTGCCCCGCTCACAGCCCCGGCAGCCCCTGCGGAGCCAGCGGCCCTGCAGCCGCTGCCGTCACTGCGGCCTTCCTGACGCGGTAACGAGCCTAATTGAGGCAAATTGCTGGAGCACCAAGCGGTTTCTGGGAAGGTAAATATGGGCATGGCACGGAGCTGTGCCCTGCTCCAGCGTTGCTGTGGCAACACCCACTGCGGACCCCCGACCCCGCTGGGGCCAGGCTGGCCCCCAGACCGTGCCCAGCAAGGGTGGTCCTGTGCGTGCCACACAATGATGGGACGCTCCAGGGACCTCAAGCCAGCCCCAGCCCATGGGTGAGCTGGGGAAATGTCCTGTGTCCCCTGGCGCTGAGCCCTGCGCAGGTGCGTGCACACATAGAGCACACATGTATGCCACACACACACACACACACACAGAGACACAGAGACACACGTGTATACACACACACTCTCACACACACACACACACACACACAGACACAGACACACACACACACAGAGACACACACACTCACACACACACACACACACACTCACACACACAGACACAGACACACACACAGAGACACACACACTCACACACACACACACACACACACACACAGACACACACACACACACAGACACACACACAGAGACACACACACACAGAGACACACACACTCACACACACACACACACACACACACACACACACACACACAGACACACACACAGAGACACACACTCACACACACACACACACACACACACAGACACACACACAGAGACACACACACTCACACACACAGAGACACACACACTCACACACACACACACACACACACACACACACACACAGACACACACACTCACGTGTACACACACACTGGCAGGCGCTGCCCTCAGCCGCCCTACCGGAGCCGCTCGTTCATGGTATCCAGAGGGATGAAGGTGCTGACATCAGCCTGGCCAGACTTGCAGGATGGTTTGGGTGGGAAGGGACCTTTAAACGTCCTCTGGCCCAGCCCCTGCAGTGAGCAGGGACACAGGGACACCTGCAGCACCAGGCTGCTCAGAGCCCCGTCCAGCCGGGCACTGAGTGTCTCCAGGGATGGAGCACCCAAGCACCCCCGGCCTCTTCAGGCAGCCCGCGCTGGAACCACTCTGCCCTGAGCAGAGACTCTGCAGAACCACAGCGCGGCCATGGAGCCAGCCCCTGGCTGTGAGCTCGTCCCAGGGCATGGAATGGGGCTGAGGCAGCTCCTCACCCCCAGCCTGGTGCCCGGGGCTGTGTCCCCCAGGCAGTGCCCTCCTGGCAGAGCCAGGCACGGCGGGCAGTGCCCCCCAGCCCAGCCCAGCCCAGCCCAGCAGGCACCCCTAGGCGCAGCGCCTCGTAGGAAAATTCCCACTTTATCAAGGGAATTGAGCACCACAAATTGGTCTCCTAAGTCGATTCTGCCTGCTGCCAGGCCTCTTCCCCACCACCTAATTTGATGACAAACACGTTCCTCTCCTCCTCCCACCCTTTAATCTAATGAAGAGCACTGTGTCCAAGGCACAGGGAAATAAACTCTGATGAGGTTGATTTTTATAGGTAAACAGCCTGATTTCTCTGGCCTGTGGCCTCACTCCTCACACCCCTAACACCCACCACCTCCCCCTACCACCTCACCATCCTTGCCCTGCAATTTGGCATCAGTCTTTATAAAAATTGCCTGCTTATAGGATGTTTTTTGTACATTTCATTAGAGCTTGAGCAGCTGCTTTGCCTCTGGCTTTACTGTGCCCAAGCAGAGGAAAACAAGGCAGAAGTGGGGGTGCTGCAGCAGGGCGCTCATGCCCAGGGCGTGTGGGGGCCTGCAGAGCTGGGATGGCCCCAGACGGGTGCCCAGACGGGGGGCAGTGCTGGGCGCCATGGCAGCTGAGCAGGCCTGCCTGGACACAGGACACAGGGCACAGCCCTGGGCATGCCAAGGGCTCTGAGCAGGGCACCCCACTGGCCTGCCCGGCTCCCTGAACACACCACAGGGCCCATCCCAACACAAGAGTGAAAGGAGAGGGGCTCTGACAGTGACACCATCACTCCTGTCCCCCATTGCCCGCAGCTGCACGGATGCAGGGCCTGGGGTGGCTCAGGAGGCAACAGGGGCTGAGTTTCCATCTTGCTGTGCCAGGACCAAGCAGCAGGAATGTTTTGGTGATGGGAGGTAAACAGGGTCGTGGTAAGTGTCAAGATGCACTCAGGCAGAAATTCTAGCAATGCTAAGTATAGCCTAAATGCCATTAAAGCAGGAGAGGGAAGAGGATATGAGGGTATTAATAGTCTCAACATTTAAATCCTGGGTGCAGCCACAGCTCCAGGGATGCTGGCTGCCCAAGCCCAAGGGCACTGTGCCACCGACACGCTGCACCTGCCTGCAGGGAAACCAAGAGCCCAGCAAGGGCAAGACCAAACACAGCTCTCTGCCCCTCGTCCACGCCCCAGAGCTGGGCCAGGCTGCAGCACCACACCAAGGCCGCCCCAAAAGGACACCAGCGTTTATTTACAACACTCCTCAAGTGACATACCACAGAAAGGAAAGGGTACAGTACAACTCAAGGACTCAACAAAGGAAAGGTATTGGCAGCCCCAAGTCCCTGCAGCCCTCCCCACAGCCACTGGCACTGCACGGGCCTGGCAGCCCCATCCCCGCCAGCCCGGAGCACGGGCGGGCAGGGGGCTGCCAGCCCTCCCTCGGGGCAGCCCCGCAGCTCGGCCGGGCACAGCTGGCACGCCAACTCTCAGGCAGGGACGCAGGAACCATCCACGCGGTGCCGCGAGCGAGGGGCTAAAGGAAGCACCCCTGGTGTGGTTCCACCACTGTGGCCACCCAGGGCAGCCTGAGGGGCCGGCTCTCTTCCAAGGGCTGCGTATCTGGAAAATGGCGTTAGTACAAAACTGCAGCGTTGCCAGGGCAAGGAGCTCCCGAGCCTTGCTCCGTGCAGCCCCACGGCTGCCCCCACGGCCACTGTCTCCTGTGGAGCTGCAGGTGGCCCAGGTCCCTCTGAGCACCTCTCAGAAGCCTGGGGCTGGTGCTGACACTCCACCTCTCCATCTGCAGGGAGAGGAACACCTTCCCCTGCAGCACCACAGCGACCAGGCCTGATCTAAGCAGGTAGAAAATGTGGCCTCAGACGTGGCCCACGTGCTCTAGCTTGCTGCCACAGAGGAACTGGGAGGAGCCTGGCTATGGCCTCCCAGCCCTCAGCTGCACAGCGGGGCTGCACAGGGGCTGTCCCTGTGTCGGGAGGCACAGGAACAGACTCGACTGTGCCACCTGCCCTCGGCCAGCCCCAGCAGACGTGGAGCTGAGGAAAGCGAGACCCCGTGCTGCCCGATCCAACAGCGCGTCTGCTTCGGCCTGCCCAGCCTGGCACAGAGGGCAGCGACAGGAGGGGAACAGGGGATCGGGTTGCTCAGCATGAAGTGGGGAAGGGCGGCTTGAGGCCAGAGAAAGCTATGAGCGGGGGACTGGAATCCTTTGCAACAGGCTCTGGGCAGTCTCGGTGAGGCCCTGAGCATCCTCGACCTCAGGCAGCTTCAGAGCCAGCCCCAGAGCTGACTGGCTCTCCCACGGGCTTTTAGAAGGACAGACCAGAGGAGAAAATCAACACAAAATCTCAAATTAAATCTGCTTGAGGACCTCAGGAGAGTAGCCGACCCGCAGGGAGGATCCACTTTAGGACTTCTTTGCATCCTGTGTGTTTCTCCTCTTCAGATCACCCAGGTCGACGGGTTTAAACGCTGCAAGGGAGACAGGAGAGACTCTGGGGGCAGAGGCACGGCAGCCCCCGCCCGGCGCGCCCAATCCGGGCCGGCCCGGCCGGCGCGGTGCCCCCGTCCCCCGCACCTTTCAGGCTGGGGTTCGGCATCTTCTCCACGTATTCCTCGACCAGGCCGCGCTCGGAGCCCATCTGGCTGCGCAGGTCGCGCTCCACGCACTGCCAGGCTGCGGGGACAGGGTCAGGGCCAGGGCCGGGGCCGCTCGCCTCGGCCGCCCCGAGCCGCCCGCGCCCCCGCCCCGCGGCCGCCGCCCCGCTCACCCTCGTAGATGAAGCGCACGTTCTCCTCGTGGGCCGGCGTGAAGATCTCGCTGCCGGCGCCGGGGGAGCGCGGGCCGCCGCTCCGCTTTCCGTTGTACACCACCCGGGAGACGGGGGAGCTGCAAGCGGAGCGCGGGGGGAACTGAGCCGGGCCCGGGGCCGCGCTGGGCCCGGGGCCGGGCGGGGCTCACCTGGCCATGTCGGCAGCGGCGCTCGGCGGCGCTCGGCGGGGCCGGAAGGGGCTCGGCGGGGCTGCGGGAGGAAGGGAGGGCTCGGCCGGGCCTGGCCGCGCGGCGCCCCCCGCCCGTCGCCGGGCAACGCGCGCCCCTCACCTGGGCCCTCCCGCCTGCGCCAGCCGCACAGACGGAAGCGCCGCACCGCGCAGGCGCGGCCACGCCCCCCTCCCGGCGGCGGACACACCCCCGCGCCGGCCCTGCGCACGGCGCTGGCCACGCCCCCGCCGCCACGCCACGCCCCCGCCCCGGCGGAACCGGAGATGGCACCGGAGGCGGTAGCGGAGATGGTACCGGAGGTAATAACCGAGATGCTTTATTGGAAAAGTACAAAGTGGTTCGCGATTGGCAGTACCGGGCGCTGCTGCCCGTTGGCCGCCCGGGCCCAGCCCGGGCGCAGCCCCAGTTCCCAGTCAGGCGCAGCCCCGGTTCCCGGTCCGGAATAGCCCCGGTTCCCCGTCCAGCTTAGTCCCGGTTCCCGGTCCGGAATAGCCCCGGTTCCCGGGCAGACGCGGCCCCGGTTCCCGGGCCGGCGCAGCCCCCGGGCCGGCCCGCGGCGCTCGGTGTTCCGGTCCCGGCTCAGCGCAGCGCGGCGCCTCCCAGCAGCAGCACCAGGTCCTCGTACTCGGGGTCGATGAGGTCCGAGGGTTTCTCCCCGTCGTCCGTGGTGGCCTCCAGGCTGGCCCCAAGGGACAGCAGGTACCTGCAGGGCGCGGAGCTGAGCAACCGGCCCGGCCCGGGCAGCCCGAGGAGCCGCCGGTGCTCGGGCAGCCCGAGGAGCCGCCGGTGCCTGTGCTCCATGCCCCGGGGCCGTACCTGGCGATGTCGGCGTAGCCGTCGCTGCAGGCCATGTGCAGGGGCGTCCAGCCGTTCTCGTCGCGCTGGTGGATGTCAGCGCCGTACTTGACCAGGAGCTTGACGCAGTCCAGGTTCCCCGTCAGCACGGCTTCGTGCAGCGCTGCCATGCCTGCGGGGACAGCGGGTCAGCCCTGCCCGGGAGGGAGCGCTCTGCACGCTGCATTCGCAGCTCGGGAAAGGGGGGCAGGCACTCTCCTGCTCAGGGGGAGGACGGTGGGGAAAGAAACACAGAGTGAGAAAGCCAGAGGAGCTGCTGTGGGTTCCTGCTGCCCTTCTGCAGCATGAATGCCCTGTCTGGGAGGGTCTCCATGGCCCTGTGAGAGCAGAAGCCAAGCGCAAGAAAAGGACAGATCTGGGCTCCACACCGGCCTGTACAGATCAGGCATTCCATGAACAATTTCTGGTGAGGCTGTGCACGCAGAGCTTTCCCTGAGCCCCCAGAGTCAGACATACAAGAGGGAGCAGTGCCTGTGAGAAACGGGCAGAGCCAGGAACAAATGCAGATCCCCCAGTCAGGGGAAAAGGCAGGAGCCCCAGGGTGCTGCCCAGAGCCCGCAGCCTGTGCTTGCTGCCGTCCTTTGGGGTCCCACCACGCTGTGGGGGCTCGATGGTGCCTTACAGGGACCGGGGCCAGGCTCCCCCTTTCCGCTGACTCTGCTGGTAAGGGGAGATGCTGGGGCCACCCTGGGGCTCTGCTCCTTGCTGAGGGGCCCAGCTTGCTCAGTCCTGCTGAGGGGGGCCCACAGCGCAGCCCCGGTGTCCCTCACGGCCCAGCCCAGCCCCGGTGTTCCTCACAGCCCCGGTGTCCCTCAGCCCCACCAGGCTGTGCCGCTGCTCTGCCCAGCTCCGCGGCCCAGCAGCACTCACCAGAAGGGTAGATGGTGTCCAGCGTCACCTTCCTGGCCCGTATGAACCTGCCCACCTGCTCCAGGTCCCCCTGCTTGATGTGGTCCTGGAACACGACGTCGTTGGGGAAGCGCACGGTGCGGGAGGCCCGGAGCCGGGGCGCGTACCGGCCGTACCGCGGCGTGCACCGGCCGTACCGCGGCACCGCGGGGCAATAGTCCCTCATGCTGGCGGCAGCAGCCCTCAGGCACAGCGGCATGGGGCTGCTCAGCACGCAGCCCGGCCCCTCGCTGCCCTGCTGCCTCCTCTGCGGCCCTCACGGCCCGTCCGGCTGCAGCTCTGTGCTGGCCCTGCCGTGTCCCGCTGTGTTCCCTGCTGCAGCGATGTGGCTGTCACCGTGCTGCTCTCCCGCTCTCCTGGGGCACTCGCAGGACGTGGCACCGGCACCCGCAGCTCACCTCCAGGCCCTTGGCCCAGGACTGATGGTTCTCTGGGAGCACCGCGTTATAAAGACTGCCCCGGGCTATTTTGGGGACATGCAGCTCATGCTATTTGCCATGATGCTTTGTAATCGAGCCGCCTGGGCCTGCAGCCTCCCACTTTTGGGCAGAAGTTGGTGTCTCATCTTACCACCCACCTGTTGATGTGCCCTGTCCAAGGGGTCAGATCTACTCTTGCTTGGGTAGTCCTTCAGGGGAGCCTGGAAGGAATTTCCCAACATTGAGCCCTTGTGGGGAAAGGGGCACCGGCCACCCTGTCCCAGCGCAGTGTGCGTGTGCCAGGGCTGTGGGCACCGTCACATCCAGAGCTGTCACCCTCCTGTAGCCAGAGGGGACAACTCGAAAGGAGCAGGAGGAGCTGTGCTGCCCGGCCCAACTGTGACAGCACACAGCCAGCAAGCACAGCCTGAGTGTCTGATGGCCCCTGTGCCCTTGCGAGGACAGAGGTGCTGCTGGTGATCCCAGGACAGGCACAGGACCAGAAGCCTGCCCTGCTGGTCCCTGCTGTTCCTTGTCCTAGAGACAGGGAAGCAGCTGCTGCTGAGGGCAGGCTACTGCAAGCAGCCTTCGAGGAACAGCAGAAGAACAGCACCACCACCAGACAGCCCCTGCCTCTGATACTCTCCAGCTACACTGTCGTGACCCAAAACAGAACCATCTGCCACAGAGGAGTCATTCAGGTCCATCACGGTTTAAGCAACCACTGTTTTCCCCCAGCCAGGTTTGGGCACATCAGACAATTAAGCATTTTGTGCTTTGTCACGGTGATGGGGATTGTCCAGGCTGGTGTGTCAGAAAAAAATCCCTGTGCTGCTTTAGGAGTCAGGGGTTTCACTCTGCCCTCCTGCTGCAGAGCCCTGCCCTGACCCCAGCAGCACAGGCAGGCACACACCCCAGAACTCCTGCACTTGTTTATCTGCTGGCAAAAGCATCGATCCCTTGACCGACCATCCGCTTGTGGATGAGCCTGAACACGGCACAGAACACTTGCAGCCTGCTTTCTTGGAACAGCAATTAGGCATGTACATCCAATGGCTGCTGAGCTCCTGCCCTGCCACAGGGACCCTTGGGCTAGGGGAGGCACCTCGTCTAAGCCCGGCACAGTGGGTGTCTGCCCAGAGAGAGGAGAGCTCTGCAGAGCTCAGGCTTGGTCACAGTTCAACTGGCTGTGCAAAACAGACCCATTTGAGTCAAATTCTAGTCCCTCCTTTCAGTGGGACTTGATTAGCGAGAGTCCCTTCCTCCCCACTCCAAAAGACGAAGCAGCTGTCACCAACCAGCCCAGGCCCCCAGCACCGCTGTGTTTGTGGGTGCAGCAGTGGCCACTGCCCACCTTCAGTCATAGCCCTGGAGGGAGGCAGCTCCTCCCTGTAGCTGCAGGTACAGGTCTCACACACACCTGGCTGCTGCTCTGTCAGGGACAGCCCTTCCTCATCCCGTGCTGAGTGGGGGCCTGCTCAGCCCCAGCCCTGGCGCTGCTGTGCCCCAAGTTTGGGAACACCACATCTGGGGCACAAAGGCTGGAGCTGGAGACAGACACAAGTGTCATCCAACACCCTGTGCCACTGCTCCAGCACACATCCCATCGACAGAGGTGCCCCCAGTTGTCCTCTAGCCTCACCATGCCCTCCCTGTGACATTTATAGCATATTTTCTAACCAAAATACCTTCAGCAGCAAGCAGCAGGTTTGGAAATAGCAGCGTGGCTCAGGAGGTCATGTGAGCCTGACTAGCAGAGCCCAGCAGCAATGTCCCCTCAGCCCAGCCAGCTGGCCCAGGGGCTGCACACTCCCAGGGCCAAGCCACGGCCGCTCACACCTGCACCAGCCCCTGGAATCCGGACAGGACACCGGCACTGGAATGTTCTTTTCCTTTACTAATTACTTGGAGAACGTGACACACACCCCATTGCAGCAGAGTCCCATGGGAATCATCCTATGACTCTGATCTCCCCTTCCAGGGTAGGTTCAAATATCCTACATGTTGATAAAGACAAAGAGACATAATAGTATTAAAATCTCAACTTTATTTGGCCATCAAATTCAGTACCAATGTTATTGTAGCAGAATGCTAAGAACCAGCCTGATGCAGCTCAGGCCTGTGAGGCACTCCCTCAGCCACATTCCCAAACCCCAGTAATTGCAAATGTCCTGTTTGATCTGTTTATCAGGCCCTCCCCCACCACCCACCTGCCGGGTCAACACACTCAAAATAATTCGTGAAAGGGATTGCAACTCTTGTCTTTGATCAAAATGATGTCAACACAGCTGGTGAGCCAGCAGCCACCTCCACCCTCAGAGCCTGCCACAGCCAGTGCACAGAGTATTCCACCCCTCCAGGAGCTTGGAATAGACATCTCCAAGTGTCTTAAAGGAGAAGGGAAAGGAAACATCTGGCTAGCATGAAGAGAAGCACCTTCACATACACCTTTCCCCAGGAAGCCATCAGCCTTCTGCCCCCACATCTGCTGAAGGCCAGCTCCAGGGAAGAACAGCGGACACCATTAAGGACCCTGCCAGGTGCAGAAATCAATTAGGGGCTTTAGTTTTAAAAGAAAAAGAGAAAAAAAAGCTGTCTGGAAGATGTTAGTGGCAAGGCTCCAGATTGTCAGGCTACTGAACTCCTGGTACCACCTCACAACCTCCTGCTGCCCAGAAGAACAGAGTTCTCCAGACAAAAGCTGTGTACAAAAAAGTACATCACAATAGAAAAAAGAGCCCAGCTGGCTGGGCTGGCTCCCTAGTGACAGTTCCCTTTTCAAAAGCCAAAAGAAAGAAAAGGTAAGTGTACAGACAAGTGAGGGTAAAGTGTTACTTTAGAAGCCAATCCCTGGATTTCCAGTCATTTACCTTCTGCTTTAAATCTTAATGGGTTTCTGACTCACTGGGCTGCATCATAGCAGCCAATTTAGTGTCTGATTTTTTTGGGTGATGTAGATCAGTCTTCTCTTTACAATTCATCCTTTTGGAGTTTCTGCTCATCCTCATCACCTTCCTCAAGTTCAGTTTCTTCATCCATCTCCAGGTCCTCCAGATCCTGTGGAGGTTACAGACAGCTCCTGGTTTCTGGCACATGAGGCAGACCCAGGATCCAGCACTGAGCAGCAGCCCTCATCTGGTCACTGCTCTCTGCTGCCATGCTAACAACACATCCAGAGACTTCTATCAAGAGCTTCAGACTCAGGACATTAAGGATTAGGAAGCCTTATGGAAGATGGCACCTGTACACCTGTAGTAGCCTCCCCAGCCCCCAGCAGGTGAGAGCCTCCAAGCAGACACACAGGCATGTGGCACTGATCACACAGCCCAGCTCCAGGTGCCGAGTGCCCCAGCAGTGCTCTCCAGGACAGGAGCCCACTGCAGGCCCACAGCCACCCCAACAGACCACACTGGTGCGGGCACTTTGCTCACCAGCAACATGATGTGTAACAACACAGGATCTTATTTAGGACTGAGGGTTCAGGCACAGAACCCTGCTCCCAAGGGCCCAGAGTAACCATGCACATTACTCACATCATCAGCTGCTGCCCCATCCTGACCTCCGCTCTCCAGGAATTTTTTGAATCCTTCTAGTGTCCTCTCCCCATTATAGTCAATTACCTACACAGGAAAACACAAGGATGCTGGTTATGGGCACTACAGACCCACACCCCTGGAGAGGAGAATTCTCTTTCTGAGCAACAGTGAACATGCCAAGCAAAAGGGAATTTAAAAATTCACCTTCACCCATATGAGACGAAGGAAAACAGCTCAGCCACTAGACTTCAGAGATCACTGCGAGGAAAGAATAGCCTGCAGATGAGCACACTGTCCTCTATGCTCCCTCTTTTCCCCATTCCCACTTCCCACTGCCCCCCAGGCTCTTTCCCTACAGCCCAGACCCCTCACAGGGCCCTGGGTGTCCTGCAGACTCGCCGTGTTCCGTGCCCACAGGATGCAGAGCCCTCCCCAGTGCTGTGCAGAGCGAGCAGCGAGCGCTCTGTGCTCCCTGGCCAGCCCAGCTGCCTGCTTACATTTCTGCCAGAGCCTGCAGGGAAGAACTTGAGCGTGGGGAAGCTGTGGATTTTCACTGCCTCCACTTCATTAGCCGTCGAGTCCATCTTGGCAATGACAATGTTCTCGTGGTCCCTGTAGGTTTCTCCCAGCTTGTCCCAGATCGGGGCCAGCTGCTTGCAGTGACCACACCACGGGGCATCTGTTAATCACAGACACACAGTTGCACCAGCAATCTAACGAGGCACCGCTCCTCCCCAGCCAGACAGTTCTCACACATCTCTGCAACCAAGGCACTGCTTTTGGGGCCCAGGCTGCAAAAGGCTTTTCCCCTAATCCTGGTCACACAGGGGTTTTGGCAATTCTTTCACACCAGTTACTTGGAATCAGCTGGAGAAAGATACTCACAGAACTCCACAAAGACATTCTTGTTCTCATCAAAAGCAACTTCTTCAAAGTTCTTCCCAACCAGAACTTTGACAGGATGCTTGTCCCAGTCTTCAGGAAGATCCTGACTCATTAGGTGGGGCTGGAACAAAAAGTGAAATTCAGACAAACTGTTTGCTGCATAGCTACTGGGGCTGATCGTGCAATCACACATCCTGGAAAAGCCAGGTTTCAACACCCCACTGGTGCCTCAGTCACAGGCTGCAAGCAACCAGATGAACTGTCACTTCCTCTTGTCCCACAGAGTCTCCTTCCCACCCCGGCCCAGCAGGAGGAGCAGGTGCTGTTGAGCAGAGAATGACAACAGAGCTCTGCAGGAG